GCATTTTCTACACTTTCCACAATATGTTTTTTCACACAAAAGCAAGAGGTTAAGAATAGATGAGAGGCAAAACAAAGAGGTGAGAGTGGGGAGGACAGTGAGTGACTGTGCTTTCAGATCTTTGGAAAACAGGGTGGACAGGAGGACATCCTTAAAGGCTGTGTATTTGAGAGGGAAGTTCATGGACTGTCCTAAAGGCCTCACCTTTACTCTCTGTTGTTGAAAGCCCCTAAAACAAACATGGTCATAGCAGCCACCAACAGAAAAAGTGTTACAGTAAGTGTGAAAATGTAAAACGTTTCATTAGGAAAAGTTTTTAAATGAATACATGATGGATCAGTCAATCAATATATCAGAGTACTTGTTGTTGCTTGCATTTTGAAAGGCTCAATAGTTTCCTAATGAATAGATATTTGTTCCTTCCAGTCCGTCTGCCAGCCAACAATGTGATGCACATTTGTCCAGCTCAGAGCAGATCCGGTATTCTGAAGAAACCTCCCCCGTGTTGTTTTGTCACGATCCTCCCTACCTGCCAGCAAGTTGTCTGTTCCTACTGTTAACAACAAATGTATTGGCTCAGGCTATTTGCAAGAACGGATACTACTTTGCATGGCAAGGAATACGTCTGAAGCTAAACAATGGCTCCTCTTGTGAAATATGGCAGCAGGGTCTCACCTTTGGCTCCTTGTGCCTCTCCCTCGGCTTATTTACGTAAGCAGGTTCTGCTCTATACCGCATCAGGAAGAGATGTTGCAGGAAACCCAAATTTGAGGTAGGATTGGGAGTGAACGTTTAACATTAGACCGCAAAAGAGAGCATTTCAGGTCTGAGGGAGGTGAAAGAGAGGGTGGGAGAAAGGGTATACACAAGTTTGACCCGTGGCCCGGAAGCACCAGGGAGCCAAAGACTCTTGACTGGAATTGATTGTAGGCCGTGTTGTTTTCACATTGCTTGGAGGTTATGCTGACCTAAAGCCTTGTTTCAAGTTCCAGCAATATCAATTATCACTAAGCCAGGTAATGGTGCACATTAAACAGGATGAAATTAGACATGACAAACAGCATTGACGCACTAAATGTACTATTACTTAATGATTAAATTATATGTTTCAATCACGCTGATAAGACTAACCTGTGGAAAAGTAAAAATAAATAGTCTTGGCAATTTCAGAATACAATCTACTTATTTAGAATTTAAATCCAGTGGCGAAAGAATTTTCCTTTACAATAAGACATTTTATAATACTTCAATTAAAAAAAAAATCTCAGATTAAACAAATACACTTTAAGTATCAAAAGAAACAGAACCATTGTGTCGAATTTGTTGCATTGTATATTATGGCTTTGTTATATTTCCAGCATTAACTTGTTAGCATAATTAATGTGTTGCAGCAGGTTGAGGTGCGCCTTGTTTTAGTCTCATTTACCAATCTTATAAAATAGAGGCTCCAATCCTTGGTCCACAAATCGAAGCCAAGCGTTGGAAAGGTTGCTAAAGACGCAAAAAGAAGCAACATTTAAGGCTGAATAATAATGCAATAACTTTCTAGCCTGTTATATGCCATTTTCGTAACTGTATATATAACTGAGCTTTGCACAGTCTGTTGTGTTATCCTCTTCATTTACAAACTGATCACTTTCAAGAACAACCAAATTATTTTTGAACTAAAGTTGGTAGTCAGTATAAAAGGTAATATGAGCAGTTTGATCAATCTAGAACCCGGATCCTCAACAACTTCTTGGGTTGTGATAAAATAGTGATTCACAAACTTCTTCTAAACAGGTTTGAAATATATTGATAAACATTAAATGGAGAACACAAAAATGATTTCTTGTGGCTGTCAGTATAACAGAAATCCTGCTGCTGCCTCAGCTCTAGTGAAGTTTTATAGGATTAGAGTATAGCTGTATTAGTGTGAAGTATTTGAGCTTTCCAAAAGACATGCAATGAGCCAGGAAACATGAATATCTTCTGCCATCTGATTCCATTTTAACAACTGAGTACATTTAGGGAGTAACATCCATTCAGGCATGGCGTTTTTTTCTTTGTAGTTCATGTGTACAATTCTATACAAACATCAGCATTTTTCTTGCAGTCTGGGATGAGTTCAAAGGATTTAAGAGCTTGAAAGTCCACTGACCAAAATGGGTTGTGAATGCAACATGAGATTTCAGCAGATTCTCTCACCTCCTCATGACCCGTCCTTCAGTCATCAGCAGAAGGTTAAAGTGTGGGCCTAATGACTGCACATCCTCTCTCCTGCTGATGGTGCGCCACAAACCTGCCCTCACAAACTGAACAATTGGTTCATTTGACCTCCGGGACATGAACTTGCTCATCTCGTTCACACCCATCAGTGCATCTGTACATCACCCCTACCTTCTGCTGCTTGTGTTACACACTGACTGATGTGCATCATGATACAAGCTGAGGGGCAATGGGCCACATTCCTGACACAACCTAACACAGGAGGTAATAACTTTGTATGGAAGCTCAGTGCTGACACCTACAGGCTAGCAGATGTATAGAATATCAAGGTAGCAACACTATACTGTACTACACTTCCAAATGAGCCAACAAGTTATGTGTCCCGCTTGATGAATATAAATGTAATTAATATTTTAAGCACATTGTTAAATATTGTTTATATGGAATGATCCATCATAATCAATAGCATCCAATTTCAAACTTTTTAAATGTTTTACACTTCCACCTCCCCAGAAAACAATGATTAGTGAGATCAGCTACACATGGACACCCTCTGGTGGCTTGTGTGTGGCATGACAAGACCAAACTGCCAGGGCCTTAATAAAAAAAAGCTGATTTTATTTGGAAGGCACCTGTCAAACACAGTGCTAATGCAACTTTGTGTAAGTCCAGGAAATGCATTACAAAAAATATCACATTTAAAACACAATAAATTAAAGAAACAACAAAAATAAAAATGTTGGGATGAAATTGTATTTTTGATAATAAAAGACTACAAATGCAGATACAGCCCACTGTTGTAGCCACATTCAAAACCCATTAGGTTCACATGTAGATTGTGCAATATGAAAGAAAAGTGTTAAATGTATAAATGGATTGCATTTATAAAGCACTTTTCCAGTCTTTACGACCCCTATGGCACAAACCATAATACTGGTCAGCATTCACCAATTCACACACAATCATACAGAGACAGAGGCTGCCATACAAGGTGCCCCTGCTCAAGGAACCTAACAATCACAAACCAATGGTCTAGCCATATGGAGCAACTTGGGGTTAAGTATCTTGCCCAAGGATAAATCTACAAGTTCACTCAAGGGGCTGGGAATCGAACCACTGACTATCTACGTAATCGGCAGAGTGGTGCCAGTTGCAAGCTCTAAGTGCATCATTGCTGCACAAAGAGGATGCCATCATGTGTTTATAAACACATACTTTTTTAAAAAACTGAATTAATTATATAGAAACTTCTTTCCATAGTGGGGATGGTTTTAGCCCCTAGTGTCTTCTGTCTTTAGTAACACAACAGCTTTTAGTTTTTCTTTCAGAATTTCCATACATTTCAGTTAAAGGAGCCCTTTTATGCTGTTTTGGGTTCGTTCCTTTATTGTAGTGTGGTATAGGTTTTTGTGCATGTAAATGGTCTTCAAAAGCTAAAATCCCCAAATTCCCTCCAGAGAGAGTTTCTCCCCCACACACTCCCCCATGCATATGGGTATAAACAAAATGTTGTATTTTTTAGCTGTCAGAATCAGAATACCTGTATTGGTCCCACAGAGGGGACATGTACGTTGTTACAGCAGAAAAAGAGCCACAGACAGCTTAATGTTACATGTGCAAAAATATGTACATGTCTTGTCTAGACATGATAGTTAAGGTTTGACATTGACCTCAAATGTTAAGATGTTAGAATAGGTGGTCTGGTAACGGGTCAAGTGAGAGTTTTTTTGCAGTTTTCCCAGGGTTACCTTACCGACACCCCAGACAAGCCATGACTGTGTACATTTTTCATGGGAGAGTGCATGGGTCAGTATTAGTGATACATTTGGGCAGAATGCAGGTAAAATAAATGGCCTCATTCAGCTCACATTTGTCAATGTTCCCTTGAGACAGGCACCTGTGGGTCTTTGAAGGTTCATAGGGGATCTCAAAACAGTGAAGAGGGAAACAGCATGATTATGGATGGTGCACATATGGAACAGAAGCCATTGTGTGCCCTAAAACGTTTGCAAGATTTGCACATGCAAGCACCTGCAATATATAAGCCTAAATTAAAAGAGGGATCAGAAGTCATAATCTTATCGGTAGCCTATATTGAATGAAGGTAAAGGTATAGAACATGAATATTATCACAGGATACATAACATCACTGTGAGACTGTAATATGCAATTACAAAGCCAGCGGGAATGTTACCATCAGAGAGGCAGAAGAAGAGTGAATTATAAGCATTGCTCATGTATTTTGCACCTCTAAAAGCCCCGCCAGCTGGTAGTGTGTACATGCAGTATTTTGTGTGTGTGCTGAGAGGGAGAGGATATCATAGGAAGCCAATTTTAGGTGGCAAAGGATGAACCAATTTCCAGTCTAGATTTAATTTGCATTGCAGACACACGGTTTTAGGTGTTTAATAAGAAGTGATACCTGTCTGTTCAAATGACTTGCTTTATCTGAAAGAAGAGCACTGCCTCTCAGTAAAGCTGGCTTCTTCCCTGGTGCAGGCTACTGCCATATACCCGATATAAACCCCACATCATATAAAAGCAGAACACTCTGAATGAATGAGAGATGTGGATGCTGAGACTGTATTCGGCCATCTTTGACAGTTCACACTAATTTTACGCACAAATCTACGTTGATGAAACCGGCAGTGTGTTGTGTTGTGTTGAACCTATGAGCATCTCTGATGTGGCGCATCTCAAGTGCGTCAAGGGAAATATGCTGAGACAGATCGGACAGGAAAAGAAGACGTTGGGTTTTTCAAAATAAAATCAAGACATTTGTGTCTTTGAAGAACTTGATTATTATCTAATAAAACAGAAGGAATTTACATCAATTTGATATGCAAATACAATGTGACAAAGAACACAATTACATCCAGTAATTTACAAGTTAATAGATAAAAAAATATACAGTGTAGGCCTACATATGAGCAAACCAGGCTGGTAAATAATTCAAAGTGATTTTAAAGGAGCTATGACCATAAAGGTATGCAGATCATTCAACTCTTAGTCTTAAAAATTGTTTTCAAATGCAATATTGCTTGAATCCTAGTGTGACTTATCTGCGTTTGTCGTTAATTCAGTGGGACACATTTCTTTGTTTCTTTCTATATGTAAAAAAAAACAAAACATATTTTAGTTTAAAATTGGGTATCATTAGCATTACAAAGGTAAAATTCATTTTAAAATAAAGATCGATAGTTTAAGATCCGCAAAGATTTTCTTTTTCTTTTAAAACATTACTATGGGGTCATGTACACTTGTATTGTTGGTCTATAAGTTTCTGCATACTGCATCCTGTTTATAAAAAGGCAGGTTTGTATTTGATTTTTAAAACACTGAGTAGAGGGCACATTTCTAGAGAAAACATATTGGTTCCTTATTTTCTAAGGTTATATTGTTATATTTTCTTACACAGAATATACTCATAAGAGCCATCTTATTGATCTTTTTTTCCTGTATTTATTTGAATTATTGAGTTAATCCAAAATGTATTGTAACATAATTGGAATATCTTTATCGTCGTCATACATACAGTATCTTGTGTGATATCGTTGATATCTCTCTCTGAAGTAATACAAATAGACACAAATAAATAAAAGCAGAGGTAGCAGCAATGACGATGCACTGCAATAATTCAATTAAATGTTAATCTACATATTACACATTGTACAGACTATAACATTGAAATATAACAAAACAAAATTGGATACAATTGGATTCCTAAATGCTAAAAGTAATAATAGCTGGAAAAAAAAATAGACATCAATATTGATTATGAATTATCATTAATTCACAAAGGCTTTTACGTCAACAGCAGAGACCGGAAGTCCTGCCTCTGTGTATTCCTCCTGGCTTCACGGCGGTGCGCATCTCACCGACCGGGAATACCGATTTCTGAACATTTCGGCCTTTTCCCCCGCTGCACCGTAAGCTGTGTTTTCCTGCGAGCTGCTGCAAAGGGGAGAGGGCTACCGGCGGAGAGGAGGCATTGTAACGAGCAGGGTTCTGACAGAGGGAGATGACACTCATCCAGAAGGAACAGTGTTTGTTTTGTATGGCGAAATGAGGCAGGGGGTGGAGAGACGCCACAGAGACGCTGGGCTCCGGCCAAACATCTCCGCATTTTAGCACTTATTCGATGCTCGGGATTTGCATTGCATTGCATTTGCTGCATCGTTGATCGGCCATATTTCTGCAAAGTGCATGGTGGAAAATGCAGCTTGTTTGAGGACATCCCCCCTCCAGATCCCCGTTGCTGCCATGACAGGCAGATGTCTCCTCTCGACCGCGGCTCGGCCGGCTGGAGAAGAGGCAGATTGATTCGGGACGGTGGGTCGCATCTGCGGATGTTATTCGGTCTGTGGAGCCTGTGATTATCATCCGCGCAAACACACCTTGATTCTCACTCAGGGAAAGAGGAGAGAGAAAACAACATGTCTTCTCGGTCTGCATTACCGTCTGGAAACGACAGGAGTACTGGAGACCATGTAAGTGCATTACAGCCTATAGCCTCCGATGGTGTGCATGCATAAGACAAAATGTGCATCCCTGAAATGTTCTCCTCATATATGTGGGATTTTGCATTCACGGGGTGTGTTCTCCATGTAGGATCATGGAGCTAATTTCCCCATTAGGTGGAAGGATTCTGCAGGTGATATTGTGTGGATATTTGAGCAGGATCTTTGAAAATGGGCTAACCTTGAGTGTCTACGCAGGGAAGAGCTGATGGCAGGCTAACAGCCCGGAATGAGTCCATCCGCATACTATAACACTCAGCGGATATGCGCAGAAAGCCTGAAAACCAGCCGTCACCTCTTATTATAAGGCTGTGGAGAGATAGTGATGTCACATTATAATGCCAGCTGCTGCTGCTGCCTCAATTTATATAACAGTGTGCGTCTCCAGAAAATGGATGGGTGGGACGAGAGCCCAAAATAAATGTATAGAGAAAATGTGTGGTTGGTATGAAACGGGGATTACTGCGTAAAATGATGTGCAGTCCATTGCTGCGCAGCCTACAAAGCGCCCAACCCCAGAGCAGTGGGTGTCAGACAGCGCCATACATCCAGTACAGTGGAAAACAGTAGAGGCCTCTAATAGACACAGACGCAGAGGATATGTTCATGGGAGAAACACTGAATGTAAGAATGTTGCACCATGATCTATCTATCCATCCATCTAATTATCTCAAAATGGTGACATGAAGGCTTGGCATGATGGCATTTCTCTCCCTTAAACACCTCTGGCAAGGCTCCCCCATCTGTCTGTTAGCAGCACAGAGGGATGGTTAAGCCAGTTGGTGTGTGTGGGGGGTGTGTGTGTGTGTGTGTTTGACTGTAACTGTAACTGGGTGTGTGTGTGTGTGTGTGTGCGTGTAACTGTAACTGGGTGTGCATAAGTGTGTGAGCTTACGCTGTGCATGATTGATTATGAATGCAGAGCCGTTCTTCCATTAAGATGGATCTCAATCTGCTGTCATCACTCCACAATTAAGCGATGATGACCGATGAGTTGGAGTGACTGGATGAAATGTTGTGCTGCCATGTTGGCACAGGTGAGGCGTACACTTGATGAATGAATGAGCTGCTGCCACCCATCAGAGATGGTGGCTGGGACTTGCCGGTGTGTATTGTAGGGAGAGAGAGGGGCCACATTGGCTCTAGGTGGGGCATGAGGAACAGGAATGGAAGCATGGGAAGGTGTGTGTGTGTGTGTGTGTGTGTGTGTGTGTGTGTGTGTGTGTGTGTGTGTGTGTGTGTGTGTGTGTGTGTGTGTGCGTTGCTGAGAGCAAGATGGCATGTTGGGGGGATGGAAGTGTGATGCGTTAGGGCCAGGGACCACTGTGCTGGCATCTGCTCCTTTTTTACTCCTATATTCCTCTCTCTTCTCTTATTCCCATTTTCTGTCTGATATCCTGGTTTCTTGCTCTCCTGGTATTTATTTGTATTTATTTATTACCCCCACCATGTATTCGCTGTTTTTCCTCCTCTGTATCGGACCCTGGTTTGTCACATGACAAGAAGCTGTTTCATACTGTAACACATCCAGCTTTGTTTGAGTGCACACTGTTGTCCTCCATTTGTCATCTGCTCATGGCTTCCTGGAAGAAAATTATCTGTGACTCCAATGTTCTGATGCGATGCAGTAGCAGTATTAGCAGTAGCAGTAGTACAGTTTTGTAATGTAACTAAGTAGATTTACTCAAGTGCTGTAGTTAGTTAGTTAATTTTGAGGGACTTGTTTACTTTACTTGACTTACAATGTTGTGCTACTTCGTTCTTATACCCCACTATAATTCAGAGGTAAATGGTGTACTTTTACTCCACTAAATGTATGTAATACCTTTAGTTACTTCACAGATGTGGATGAATGATGTGAAATATAATCAAGTCTTAAATCAGACTTTAGTTCTACCTGGAGTAAATTCACAAGATACCCTGCAGTATATAAAAGTTATTCAAACTAGCTGCACCTTTACCAGCTGTGAGAACACTTTAATGATCAATCATTATAAAACATATCATATATATTATTCTGAAATGGACCAATCTGCACAATGACTACTTTTACTTTTGGATATTTTGATGCTAATACTTTTGTACTTTTACTTGAGAAACATTTTGATTGCAGGACCTTTACTTGTAATAGAGTATTTTAGAGGCGGCAGTGGCTCAGTCTGTAGGGCCTTGGTCTTGGAACCAAAGGGCTGCAGGTTCACATCCCGATCGGACCAAAAAATAATAATATGGAGTGATAGCTGGAGAGGTGCCAGTTCACCTCCAAGGCCACTGCCGAGCTGCCCTTGAGCAAGGCACCTAACCTCGAAACTGCTCCCTTGGTGCCGGGTACCTGGCAGCCTCTCTGCTCTGCCACCTCTCCTATCTGCATGTGGTTGTGTGTTTAGCCATGTATATCTTCCCCTGTGTGTGTAAACAAAACATAGTGGTTACAAAGGTAAGGGATTAATAAAGTGTATCTTCTTCTTCTTACACTCTGGAATTTTACTTTTACTTAAGAACAAGATCGGTGTACTCCTCCCACCTCTGTAGTAGCAGTAATTGTAGCAGGAAACTGTTTTACAGAGCTGTGAATACTAACTCAGGTTGCAGTGATAAACCTGTATACTCTGTCATATTAAACGAGGACATCTTCCAGCAGAAAGTAGACCTCCAGAAAACATGATCATGATGGAAACAACATGTTCCTTTTCTGAACAGCAGCTGCTAAATCCCAAATGAAGGGCACGTTTTCAAATGTATTTCAAAGTTGCTTTGTAGTTGAAGAAAAAGGAAAATAAGGGTAAAACAAAACCCAGAGACAGGAGGAGCTAACACAGGTAATTTAGCTTCTGAAGACCATGAGGGCTCCATGGTGGGAACAGGCAGTCCTGGATCTGCTTTGGAAGCCTGAAGCCTTTCTCCATGTTATATTGGTGTTTGCACACAGGAAGTGAGCCAGGCTCATTTTTGTAGTGGCCAAACGTCAACTGTCACTTGAATAGTGATTTAAATCATTAGGGCCTAAAAGCTGTAAAATGCGCTAAATGCCTTATCCAGAGTTACTTCCCTCTCTTTCCGTTCTATTGAGCCTAGACTTGACATGTTCCATTGGATTGGAGGCGGGGCTAGAGGAAAACGCAAGTGTGCATGCTATATGAGTCCTCAGAGAATCAAGGTATTTTTGTACTAGAGCCAGTCCAATTAGGTTTTATGCGCCACTGGGCAACATTTCTAGGAATGAATGGGGCCCCACCTCCAGCGCTGTATCCAGTTCTCCATCCTCACCACTTTCCTCTCCTCTCTTTAACACCTATCCCTTCTCATTTTATTTTCTTCCAGCATGTGTCGCTGGGGGCCAGTCGCTCAGACAAGGCCACTAGCCAGTCCAGCCGCTCGCTGGGGGCCCGGAGCAGGATCTCCATCGCCTCCTGCTCCGACGAGCAGCCGCACGTCGGCAACTACCGCCTGCTCAAGACCATCGGCAAGGGAAACTTTGCCAAGGTCAAGCTGGCCCGCCACATCCTGACAGGCAAGGAGGTGAGACATGGGGCAGCAGAGGTGCATGGTGGGAGGAGGAGATGGATGATGCTGGCAGGGGGAGGAAAGGTGACGGTGTCATACAGATGGGATTTGGTCCAGCAATAAACCTGCTACATTTTAGTTTTCAACATATTTTAAATAAGTAGAAGTCTTACCTTCTTTTTTATTCTCCTTAATTAGACATTTTCCTACTCAAAATATTTTTGGGAAAAGTCAGCATACTTTTAAATTCTCTGGAGATATCCTGACAGCAGAAGTAACCAAATAAATTATAATAAGAGAAATTATTTGAATTAACTGAAATTATATAAAAATGCATAAATGGGTAGCACATTTGTATACGTTATGGCTGATTGCTTTTTATTGTTAAATAAGTCATTAAATACAACTTTATAGATCAGTTATGAACAATAATAGCATAACTGTACAATTACCTCATTTTTTATATGTAAATGTGGTTTGATAAATGGCTTATAGCTAAAGCTTGAGTAAATGATTCATTTGTAAAGCTGTTCATAAAAGATGGCAAAGATAGAGTACGTAGAGGTGTTCATTGGATCATCAGGAAAGGCTTCTGAGCATCATGAATGTTTAGGCAAAGGCTGATGTTCATGTGTTTCCTTTTCCTCATCAAAAACTTGCTTTGACATCTCTTCCAGGTTGCAATAAAAATCATTGACAAAACTCAGTTGAACCCAACCAGCCTTCAAAAGGTGAGTGTCTCCTCTTTTGATACTGATATGAACATGCTCCACTGTCTTGACGCTATGTGCAGAAGCTGGGCATCAGAACTGTGAATAGTTTGCTCCTTATTATGTAATTCAACAAAATCCTGACATGCCAGTGGGGATTTGGAGAGGTTCAGGTTGATCCTCAGCTGTTTCCTCCTCGGAGAGGGCAGGCATGAGAGAGCAGCTGATGGAGAGGGGGTGATGCTGCTTGGCAGGTGCTAGGGACTGGGAGGAGACCCCCGCTCCAGAGATCCTCTCACATCTTTCTCCGGAATAATCTCTTCCCCAGGGTGACTCACGTCGGAAACATGGTCACCCAGCTAAACCTTTTCTGTGTTTGGGGTTATTAATGTTTCTTTCCAAAACATTGGGGATAGCCACGAATGCTGTGATGCTAAGAAGGGCTTTTGATTGACTGGATTTGTATTTCCTGCTGGTCAGCAAGTTGTGTGTTTAGCCTGAGTGGTGGACGCTAGTGGACACTTTGGTTTCTCTAGATATCAAGGGCAACCTCAGGCACGTTTCATTTCAGGATCTGGAATGGCAAACATCAGTAGATCTTGGTTGGTAGACATGCAGACCCAAATCATAGACATCATAAATCATAGGTTGATCACATGCTTAGATATCACCACTTTATATCCGGAGCACAACCATCTTGATCACACACATTCAGGTTAAGAAGTGTCTTGTGGTTAGGGAATGTGTATAAAGACATAGGGAGACATAGGATGCAGAGACTTGCAATCAACCCGTCTTTGCCCATAATGCTGCTTAAATGCACATATGGGCTAAAGTGTCTTCCTTCCCTTTCTCTCGAATCTCCTTTCCTCCCTCAGCATGCATGAGCTACTCTGCCCTTGGGCAATAAGGGAAAAGACAAGAAGGATCAAATCAGGGCTGAACAAATATTGTATGTGTCTATATTTGTGATTTAGTTTTGAAGATGTCTGTATGTTTTGCTTCACAGATTAAAAAGATGTATATTTAAAATAGAAGGGGCATATCTGAACTTCTGTCCCCCCTAAAGAATATAGCTAAGGGAAATAGCCTTTAGCCCTTTAGTTATGTCATACAAATAGTGTAGTCCCCATTGTTACTATTATTGACTTTACTGTGGCACAAAAGCTTTGCCCAGGAAAAATAGAGATTACAGATGACGATCCTTTTGATCCTATTTATTTTATTTGTACCTTTTTGACTTTTTATAAATGGTCTTTTCATCATTTCTGCATGCAATGATAGCGATGACCTTGGGTTGTCACAGAATTATCAAGGCTTTACTACAACTTCTCATTGTTTCCCCAAAGCCTCCGTTGCCCCTCTGATCCCAGGCTTCCTGTAATCCTGAGACTTTGACTCATCGTGTTTCGTTTGGTTATAGCATGAAAGAAAATACATATCTGTGCCCTATACCTGGCTGGAATATTAGATGCGTTGTAGGAAAACTGTAATCCCAATGAATATGTTATCTAGGGCTCTGCCATATGGAGCATATCGATTTCCTACATTATTTACACGGCAATATTTTTAATAAATATTCATCAGTAATGTGGATAATGACTACGGTGGTAAAGACAAACAGGGTTGGGAAGATTACGTGAAATATGTATTAGCACTAGTTACCTGGAGAAAAATAAGTATTCAGTAACCTAATCCAAGTATCAAAATACAAAAATAATGTGACCTGATTACTTTCCATTACTTTTGGATTTCAGAACAGTACAGTTTACAGAGAAGAGATAACATCTGATCCTTTTACAACAAACACTATATGCTCTTTTTAGGTTTTTACTAACATTGTTGTCCTGCTAGTAATCCAAATCTTTTGAAATGTATCAGTAATTTGAAGACATCTTTTTTTATGTATAAGGGAGTACAGTAACCTATTTATTTCATCCTGATTAAATAATCCAGTTACATGTAATTCATTACACCCCAAGCCTGAAGAAAAATAATACAAAACAGAAATCCCTTTTCCGTAAAACAGCCTTAAAAAACAAGAAAATAAAACAATTTCAATATTATGATATCCAAATATAACATCGTATCTAGTCTAATTTTAGGATATTGTTAAAATATAGGGATATCTTGCTCTGTGCTTTTCTTGGTTCGGTTGCTGCTGTGAAAGACAATGGTGCAACATTTAGGCCAGGATTGAGGAGAGAGGCTGGGATTGGCCCCTGATTGGAGAGAATACTCTACAATTGGCCGCTCATGATAGCGGGCTTCTTTACGTACCCGTGGGCTAGAGAAAATCCTTAGTACCGAAGACATGAAAGAGCCCATATTAGCATAATCTGTCATATATGTAGAGGGGAGAAGGAAAGAGGGAGATGCATTGTATACGGCTGGGTAAGAGAGGGGGAGGAATAAGGGAGGTAAAATCATAGATGTGAAATATAAATGATCAACATCTGTTAAGAAGAAATAGCAGGAGACAGGAGATTTTCATACTGGTCTATCTGATGTCTGAACAAAATCAAATATGTGTAATTTAGAAATTAGAGTTACTTTTTAATATCATATTAATTAATACATAAAACTGACATTTTAACACAATTTGTTTTATTCTGTGGGGATACATTAAAGCCAGCCTTATTGCCACAGAGAACGTGTCCATCCTTGTCAGCTTTATTCTATGCTTCCTATTTATTGGCGGTTATTAAGGGTGACCGGGTCGCACTCGTTGCCGGGGGATTGTTTATTGTTTTGACGGATCTGACCGCTCAGCCCTGCCGTGACGTGCAGCGGATTAAAGAGACGCTCGGATGATGAGCATATCCCAAGATTCCCCTCTAGCACAGCTGGAGAAGCTGGGAAAGAGCCCGGTCTTAATACCTGGGTCGCCACGGCAACAGTGACGTTGGGCACTGCTAGAGGAGAAGACTGCGATGGAGGGATTGAGCGAAGGAGGAGGGAGGCGCATTGGAGACAGGAGAGGATTGAGAGAAGAGGATATAGAGGCGTGTCGCACCATCCTTCCTCCAGTTGATCGTGTGGAGGAGAGTCACTGGGATTCAGCCATGGCCTTTTGTTAAAGGAGGGGTATACACTAGAACCAAGGGGAGCATTAAGACACAATCCTCTGCTCTGCTCTAACAAACTCTGAGTAATTAAGTTAAGATTAAGACAGGTTCATCTGTATAAATCGATGCCCTTATTGAGGTTCATCACATTTATGTAATGTAAATGGTCTGCAAAGGCTAACATCCCTGTGTTCCCTCCAGAGGGAGTTTCTCTCCCACACAGCAGAATGGGCTCTGGTTTCAGACAGAGGGTGAAAAGAGGTGCTGCAGCACAGGCAGTATGAGCTTTTTGAACATTAAAGCATGGAGACATGTCACAGTACAGGCACTAAATACAAATATGAACCTGAAAATGAGCATTAAGTCCTCTATAAATGTGTCTGCTTGTACCTTTCCACCCTGATCTCATAGTAAGCTATAAAGACTATAATATGATAAACAACGAAGGCACTGGGCCATTTCATGTAATCTTTAAAGTGTACTGTAATCCTCCAACGTTGTTCTGGAAAACTGTCCGACACCTCAGGAGGGGGAAGCAGGGAACCATCCAAGCTGTGTACAGTAAGGATGGGACGTTGTTGACCTCAACTGATGGAGTGTTAGGGCGTTGGAAGGAGCACTTTGAGGAACTCCTGAACCCGACAACTCCGCCCTCTATGTTAGAGGCAGAGCTGGAGTATGACAGGGGATCGACACCAATCTCCCGGGGGGAGGTCACTGAGGTCGTCAAACAACTTCACAGTGGCAAAGCCCCGGGGGTGGATGAGATCCGCCCAGAAATGCTGAAGGCTCTGGGTGTTGAGGGACTGTCATGGTTGACACGTCTCATCAACGTTGCGTGGAAGTCGGAAACAGTACCGAAGGAGTGGCAGACCGGGGTGGTGGTTCCCCTTTTTAAAAAGGGGGATCAGAGGGTGTGTGCCAATTACAGAGGCAACACACTACTCAGCCTCCCCGGGAAAGTTACTCCTAAGGTAACTCTCGAAAGGAAGGGCAGGCCGATGTCGAAACTCCAGATTGAGGAGGAACAAATGCGGATTCCGACCCTGGTCGTGGAACGACGGATCAGCTTTTTACTCTTCGCAAGGATCCTGGAGGGGCCTGGGAGGTACGCTCATCCAGTCTACATGTGTTTTTGTAACTTGGAGAAGGCTATAGACTGGGGGTTCACCAGGGGAGTCCACTGTGGGAGGTGCGCGGGAAGTATGGGGTGAGGGGGTCTCTACTCAGGGCCATCCAATCTCTATACTCCCAAAGCGAGAGCTTGTGTCCCGGGCCTCGGCAGTAATTCGGACTCATTCAGGTGAGGGTTGGCCTCCGCCAGGGCTGCCCGCTTTGTCACCAATCCTGTTGTAATATACATGGATCTTTTTGGTTAAGGATTTCGAGGCTAGTTTATTTTTTTTTTTTTCGTGGGGGAATATTATAGGGGGTCTTGCAGTTCGCGGTGACTGAAGGATTGCACACTGCTTTGCAGATGATGTGGTCTAATGCGCTCATCGGTCTGCGACCATCAGCACTCACTGGATCGGTTCCAAACGAGTGTGAAGCAGCTGGGAGAGGATCAGCACCTCCAAATCTAGCCATGGTCTCAGCAGGAAACTGATGACTGTCCACTCCAAGTGGAATGAGTCCTGACCCAATGGTAAGAGTTCAGTATCTCGGGGTCTTGTTCCGAGTGAGGGAAACAATGGAGCGTGAGAGGGTGGGGAATCGAGCAGCGGGAGCGTACGCAGTCGCTTTACCGCACGTTGGACGAAAGGGAGCTGAGCCGAGGCAAGCCTTGTCCACCGCGCCATTTCCGTCCTACCCTCAACTATGGTCATGAAGATGGTGATGACCGAAAGAACGAGATCTGAGGCGACACAGCGCCGAGATGGGTTTCCCTCGGCAGGTGGCTGGTCCCCTTAGATAAGGAGAGAGTTCGGTCATGTCCGGGAGGGACTCGAGATTGAACCCGCTCCTCCTTCGCGTCCAAAGGAAGCCAGTTGAGGTGATCGGCACCTAGTTAAGGATGCACTGGGACGCCTCCCTAAGGAGGTGTCCCGGGCACGTCCAGCTGGGAAGAGACCAAGGGGTGACCTAGGACCCAGGTGGAGATTATACTCTCAGCTGCCGGACCCGCCTTGATCCCCCAGTCAGAGCTGGTTGGTGGCCAGGGAAAAAGAAATTTGGGTCTCGCTGGAACTGCACTCACGCGACCCCGACCACGGATAAGCGGAGAAGATATGATGGAGATGAATGGATGGATACTCCCCGCTTTCTACATGGCCACGATGGGAGTCCTCCCACATGAAGACTTGAAGTGTCAAATTGAATTCCCTTAGTATTTGCTAAACAGTACGTCGGGCCACAATTAGGAATGACCCGATGTTTAGAATATCCAGTCTGCAGATGCTTAATAAAATTAAACATTTTGCATTTACTCAAAAAATCTCACAAGAAGGCTCCTACGCTCTAATAATTAAACTCGCAGGCATCCAGAAGATTTCTGTACTCTACAATCTCGAAAATGGACAGAAGGTTTCTAACTTTGTCACGAATCCATATTTGAGATTCAGGTTTGAGCTTCCGGTAGACGACAATAGCGATGAGTAAGGGGAATGGAGGCAAGGATGGGAATAGATAGCACAGTTCCAACTACAATTAACAAATTCAAAACATTGTCTGACTGGGACGCGGAGCTGAAAACAGGAGTCAAGAAGGCAGAATGGTGACATGTCTTGGAAATACATGTTTCCATAATTAAAAGCCATTTCTGCCAAGAACATGATGCCCTCATGGCAATTTGAACACATTTATTGTATGTTTTTTTATTT